GGGAAAGGTTGGCCACCCAAAGCCATTCATGATGTTGGATTGCCACCACACATGTAGGACCCTCCAGTCGCAGTCAATGTGATGACGCACTGTGGTAATTTATTGTTTGGTTAGCTAAATAGGTTCAGCTAGGAAGACTCTGGCCAGTTCCCGCTCTTGGTCTGGTAGGAAAGCAGCCAGAGCCTCCATCTTCTGCCAGAAGACCCGGTACCTCCCCATCATAGCTTCGTAATTCAAGATGCAGAGGCCCAGATCCATTGCTAAGTAGATGCAGTGCGCCACCATGTCAAGTCTTCAACTCTCCTTGTCAGTTGGTGTGGAATGCTCCCTGCAAGGGCAACCCTGGGTAGACTTGGCAATCATGGAATTTGGGCATGGATGGTGTAGGAGGTAGGGGATGCCTTGGATGTTGGGATGAACCGTACTGCTACCAGAACAGAGTCCTTGGTTCGCATTATGTCATAAATGGGATCTTCCATCTGGCCTATGGTTTGCTGCACCTGGATGTCTAAGGACATGGCCATCTGCAAGACCTGTTCCGAAAAATGTCCAAGTCTCTTCCTTGGGGATCCTGGGCCTTGGGAGGAAACAGTGTTATCCAGGGAGGTTAAGAAAAGTTCCATGGAGTCTGCATGGGATTTGGAATCCAAACTGTAGTCCATCCGATCAGTGCAATGGATCCAGTTGATGAAGAAGGTGACCTCTGGGCACTCTCCTGATGCTACTGCAGGCTCTGTGAAGCGCTTGGCTCTTGCTTGGGATGATGGTCATGGTGGGGACCAGTGGCGTGTAGCATAAGGTGGAGGTGGAACTGGTGGCCAGGCATAATATCGAGAGTCTGCCAGGTATTCCCATGGGTAACCTTGTAAGTAGTGTCCCGGATAGGGATATGCACCTCAGTGCGGGCTTCCCCCATGCAGTTACGTCACTGGTTCAATGCCTGGAATAGAGTGACAAAGCGAAACTGGTGACGGGTTGGAGGAGAGGGAATGGATGGGGTGGCTCCATGGGATTGGCTCCATGGATCGGAACACAATGCCTGCATCAGTCCTGCTGGGAAGCTATGTGGCAATGGAGCCAGAAAATCACACATCTCTCCAAGCAAAAAAGATGCCGATCCCGGTACCTCGGTTGACTGGATGCAGCAGTCCAATTAAGCTGGAGTTGGGGAGTGCTGGATAGGCGAGGCTTGAATCAGTGAGGAGCTCAGTACGGGTGGTGTGTTTAGTTTTATGACATTTCTTCGCTAGTTTAGCATCCTTGGGCTCAAGGTATTTTCTTTTCTCTTTGTGGTTTTTTGGCACATCAGAGATTGCAGATGGGTTAGAAGTCAGAGCAAATGGCTTCAATTTGCCCAAAGCACTGGTGGAAGGGCACTTTTTAGAGACCTCCTTTGAAGTCGAAGAGCCTTCACCTTTTGTATCAGTGAGATCTCACATGGCTCCTACATTTCCATCCTCTGGCAGCCAGCCCTGTTTTTGCAAGTCTGCTTAGTGAAGGCTTGGCAATGTGGACACTTGTCCACTTGATACTCCTTGCCCAAACAGAATCGGCATAATGAATGCCCATCAATAGTTGACATTTTCACACCACAGTAAGCACACTTTCTAAAAGCCAGTTTGAGCCACATAGGGAGAGAAAAGGAGAAGAGAGATTCAAGAACAAGAGAGTGGGAAAAGATTAGGAGAGTGAGTGTATGTGGGGGGGGATTCAAAGCACAGTGGTACCTCAGCTCATGAATGCCTCACAAATTGGGTCGCAAACACAATTTATAAAAATTTTGACTCAGGTCGCCAACTCCCATTGGGTGGCGGCCGCGATCACGCTGGGAACAGGGAAGGGTTGATGGCTGAGATCACACCTGTCTTTCCTGCAGGAGCGCTATTGCGATCTTAGCCATCTCCCCCCCAGCACGATTGCACCCGTCTCTCCCCTGCAGTGCGCCCGCATTTGCACCCATCTCCCCCCCCCCC